TCTTTCATGATCTTCTTCTTTAATTAATTTTCTTCTCTTTTTATAACCTTGCCAGTGATGGAAGTAATCCTTGATCTTATTTCAGATGCAAAATAAACAGATTTTTAAACAATTTCCCATTACTTTCTGTGGATGCTGTCTCATCAAAAACTTTTTGTACTAAACAATTTCTTTCTTTCTTTTTTTCTTTTTTTTCAAATCTCCCAACTTGGCTTTGTTTTTAAAAAAGAAATATGTAGCCATTCTTCTATATAGCTTTTATCTGAATGTCTTAAAGCTTTTAGAATTAAAGGCTACCAAATGTGTTTTCCTCTTAACCTGTTTAGTATAATTCGTTACTTCTCCGAGAAGCATATGCCAAATCTATGTATGATATAAAAGCAGATTCTGTTCATTCATGATGTAAATAAATCCATGTTGAGGTATTCAGCTCTTTGTTATTGGGTTTCAAACTTGGTTTCTTGTAAAGATTGATTTGTTTTTACAACTTATCAATCTTTTAACAAGTTATTTAAAACCAGAAAATATCTTTAGATTGTAAGAATTTTTTTTTTTTTTTCTTTGAGATAATGATTTTTACTGATACAAGTCCTGCTAATTAACCCATTGCTGGTGGGAGAATTGAATTCATACCTTTTCCAAGGGTATTTGTGTGTAAGTGAACATAACAAGCCCAACACAACACTCCCCACACATCCATGCTTAGTGCACCTGTTATTCTCAAATGGTCACCCATCTAGGTACTGACCAAACTCAACATTGCTTAACTTCAGTGCTTATGTGAAGCACTGTCAGTCATCTTTAAACCCTCCCCATTTTCTATAGTCATTTCATACCTTAATCAAATAAGGTAGGTTGCCCAAGGTTTAAGTAGTACAAATTGAAGTCTTAATTGAAGTTAATACTTCATGTCCAATTCATACTACTTACTAATGATTATAGAATGGAGATCTGATAATTGTTTAAAAAAAAAAAAAGATTCCTATAAATTTAGTTCACTATGAATGGCCAGTTAATGCTTTAAGGATCTATACCAAGTCATATCACTACATCTGTGTGCTAGTAAAATTTACAACAAATGGTTTAAAAATAGCTCCAATGTCTTTATGCTTATGCTTTACCACTTCCAAAGTTGATTCTTAGCATCCTCAGACTTCATCACTGTTCAGGGATGAAGCAAAGTCATCTTGTTTCTTTTAGAGATTCTTCTTGACAGCTTGCACGGCATCAGTAGAAGACATTTGTGCATTTTTCAGGATGTGAACTTTTTCTTCCTATTTCTGCCATTTTGTTTGTCCTGTTTTGCAAGAATTTCATTGTTTGTTTCAGTCCAGGAATTTTTTTACATTTTAAATAAAAAAAAAATACATATATATGTTTAATAATTTGACCATGTAATTTACATTTTGTAAAATTCATGAATTCGTTTTAATGACGTTGTCATTAAAACAAATTTAAATATGAAAATGATTACTTTCAAATACCTAACAATAAAATTTGATTAATAGCTATAAATCAGACATTAAAGTTAATGAAAAACATCAGAAAGCTCAAATAACTTTAAAAAATAATTCTATAATTATTAGGATATTTGAAAAAAGAAAAATCATATTTCAATAAAATTACAAGCATTTAGTATGTAAAGTTTTTTTTTTTTAAATTTCAGTTTTAATTTATCTCTGAACTTTTCAATGTTTCAAGAGATTTTTCTGATTATGTTGTGGTTCTTACAAAATGGGAATGGTTTCATTCTGAAAAAGAAATGACTGGTGTTTATCTAAAGTATTTTTGTTTTTAAGTTCCTTTATGTTTCAAAGCTTATATAATGCTTTACATATAAAGCCTCTTGATAAACTTTGCACTTCTGAATATTTTAGAATGCAGGTCCAAAAATTTTGGGGCAGTACAGTTATTAGACATTTCTATTTTCATTCACTTCCCAAATATTGTGAATGGCTTTAAGGCCTAGTTAAGAATGATGCCTCACAATTGTTAGAAGCTTGATGTGTAACCTGTTCATCATTGATTCCAGTTGAGATCATAATCCACAATCCCCATGCCTTGGTTAATTGTCAACTCTATAATCTTTTACATGGCTTATAGTATATGCCTTGACAGGGCTACATACTTCCAGATTTCAGAGTTGTTCTTCTAGAGCCCAGTCTACCCTGCTGTTTAACTTATAATGGGGAACTTACCACTAACAAGAGAAGAAAAAATAATGGGAGTAATAAAACAATCAAAGGAGGTAAAACGTGGTCGAAATAAGTAAAGTGTTTTTATTTGCCCATGACATGTAAGGTTTGTTTGCTCATTCTGGGGTATATTATATCAGGCATGGACGACCAAGAATTTGTTTCAGGGTATAACACAAGGTAGTAGTCGAGATAGACATGTGAGAAAATCAACATGTATATGAAGTAGAATGAGAGAAAAGTGGAGGGTAGGATATTCCATAAATTATGACAATTAGTCAAGAGTTAGTCTCTGTTGTTTTTCTTGTTGGCCTGGACAGTTTTGTAGTCTGCCACATTTGGTTTGTTTGCCATGGGGTTTCGTCCCTAAAGCCAGCTTAGTCAGTTCTGCCTGCTGTGGGTGAAAAAGGTGTTGGTTTTACAGTAGATGGTTAAAAAATGGCTTGTGAAAACTGTGTGGGCCTTTTTCTGATTGGTCAGAAAAGCTGTTTTATGACACTGGTATTTTGGGCCAGGGTTCTGGAAGTGTGTGCGCATAGCCAGATGAAATTAAGGTCTATTTTGTCATGTGAGATGTGGATTTTGATGTTAGCACTTCTGTTTGAGTTGAAGGATTGGCCTTTCGACCGGGTACGATAAGCTCATAGACAATGGGAAAGGATGAATTTATACCTTTCCAAAGAGTATGTAAAAGGCAATATTATGCCGGGATTTGAACATACCTTACTGATTTCTCTTTTCAAGCTGCTACTATTACACCATCCACACATCCATTAGTAGGTCAGTGTGTTGAAGGACAAATGGAAAAAATGCCGACCAGAAAAAGAGCCAAACTGACTAAATGATGAATGGACAAAATGTTGAACAAAGTAAAAACAAATATATTGTCATGATTTTAAAAACATCTCAGCATTGTTGCAAATGCAACAAGGCAGAGATGTCAGAAGAAAATACAAAAAATAGACAATTGTAAACCAAAGACTAAAAGGCATTGTTGATAGATACTACATCACTACTGAGTTAGAATATCTTGAAGCCATCGCTCATAATCTTTAATTATATTTTGCTACTGTTGTAATTTCATCATAAATAAATTTAAAAAAATTTTTTTTTATCACAATTGTAATTTCTTATAAATAAAAATGTTAACTCTTTACAATAGTTTGAATGCAGATCCTTGTTCAAAAAACTTAGTAATTATGTAGAAGGCTTTTTTCCATCAGAGGTTTTTATATTAGTTTAATATTTTAAAATAATTTACCAGCAGGATACTTGCATGCTAAGTAAAAGGTACTTCATTGTAGCCTTTTATCATTTAGTCAGTTCAATTCTTTTTCCATTCACCAGTTTGTTTGCCATTTTGTTCGTTCAATATTTTGTTTGTTCAATAATTAGTCTATTCGACACTTAGTCCATTTGACATTTTGTCCTTCAGCACTGCCTGTGCACCACACGCCTTAACCACCATTATAAAATCTGAAACAAAAGGTACAGCAGAATCGTATTAATAATTATATAATATTGACAGCGTAGATTCATCAATAGTGTTTTGGAGTAAAGGTCTGTAAAAACAAAAATACTTTGGATACACTCTGATATATCAAAACATTTTAAGTAGTTGTTGTTTTATAATTTACCAATGTAAAGTATTTTAGTCAAAAATATGAATATAAGAAAAATGACCTGTAATAATCTAATTCCATTTAAATTGGATGTGAATATTTTATATTTGAAAATATTTATAAACTGTGCTATAAACTCTTTTTCTTTTTTTCTGCATGTTTCCATTCTTTGGGATTCATTTGAATGACAAAAATGTCTGAATGTTCTTTGACTATATTTTTTTTTTTTTTTTCCTCTTATTTCACATTCTCTCTGTTAACAATGAAGCTTATTCTCTCAACCAATCTCCAGAAGATTTTAATTTTCATTAAATTCTACGATCCTTCTCTATCAGCGAACCAAATCCTATCTATAAAACTCTTGGCATGATTTAAATGTATTCCTTTTAATACCTCTTCAATTCTTATTTTTCTTCATTCTTATATAATGTTTAAAAAAAATGAAATAATTTAAAAAAAAAAAATATTGGTAAGTATCTGAGATTTTTAATAAAAAAATTACTTATTAAATAAAAATTGAAGATAAAATCTGATAATGCATGCAAAGTTTAATTTTCTGAAATTTCCTTATAGTATTACTGAATTTGATGATGGCCACTTTGTTATAAAAGATTTTGATACTTTGACTACCTAAAAAGTTTGAGATAGATTCTTCCTCTGCCTTGTCTACAAAGATGGTCCTTATTATTATATTACTTTACCAGCAATCAAAAATAAAACATTGTCGTTAACCATTTTTTATGAAAATGTTACCTATGTACCTATTGGCAGGGAAAATAGATTTCTAATACAAAACTAAATAAATAGGAATATTAAATACTTAGTTATTAATCTTTTCATGAAAGAACAAACTAACTAGAAGCTGTTAACTTCTAGGTTTCTGAAAAATTTATTTTATTGTAAATGAATATATTTAAATTATTATTTTTGACTAGTAAGAGCAGTTAATGTAAAAGTTCATTAATTTAGTTGTACATCTTTGCATTACACTTGAAAGGAACTCCATGTGTAATGCTTCATTTATTTTGATATTTAATGCAGTTAAACAATTAAGAAATAAATCACCAAAATGTTTAAAATAGATGAGAAAATGTGAAATTTTTTAAAAATGTATTTTGCTTGATTTTCTTTTATCGCTAATAATGTAACAGTATTTTTTATGAACCTTGTTCTGTGTTTATAGCAATCTGGACTGAATATTTCCAATCCTGAAGTCCTTTACCTGCCAAATGTGACCTACGAAGATGCTGGTTGGTATACATGTGTTGCCTCCAATTCAATGGGATTCAAGTACCAAAGTGCCTGGCTTACAGTTGTTGAGCCAGAAGGTAATGATGTTTAGGTATCAGCTGTGTTGTCAAATCTAGTTATTTGAAGCTATCAAGAGGGAATCCTTGCTGATAAAAAAATTAAAAAAAAAATCCTGCCATAGAAAGAAAGAAAGAAGGAATTTAAAAAAAAAAAAAAAAAAATTTGCAATTTTGGTATTGGAATTAATGTAAAATGTTTGCTTTCTAGTTCTTCACTAGCTTGTAAGTTATATATATATGTGCGTGTGTGTGTTTACAGCTTTTATCGGAACTATGTTAAGGTAGAGTAGAGGTTTATCCATTGTTTCCTGTTTAAGATTGAGTTTCTTGTTCCTTCTAAAGTTTTTTTTCATTTTCTTCTACTCCCAGAAACCCCTTGCATCTTAGTGGCATTATTGCCTTGCTTAGAATAAATTGATTAAAGTAAAGTCATTCTGTGGTATATTTTTGTTTAAAATATTGATAATTTGTTTTGGGGTGTCATGTTACACAAACTAATCACAATATAAATTTTTATTTACAAAGGAACCCATTCACTATGTCTGAATAAATTATTCATTATCTTAATATTGGCTCCTTTAGGTTCTATAACCTCATTCAGTCTTTCTGCCACTGATTTTATTAACTTTCCTACTAGTGTTTCAACTTTAACATTATTGCAACAGTTTTCTGAGAAATCTCTGCTTGAATATTATTTTACAATTTCCTTTGCGTATCTTTTTAATTCTGCATTAAAAATTGATACCAAACATGTCTCAAAATTAGGCATTCTATCTTTATTTGACACTCAATTTTCTAACCTCATTTAGTACAAACATCTATTTTTAAAACTTAAGTCTGTCATCAAGATCTAAGACCAATTATCACCTGAAAAATTTATATTTAGTTTAAAGGGTGATAAAGCATGTAAACATTCTCTCTTTCACCTCCTGCTACAGTGTGAAAGTTCACATTGAATGGATAAAAATAAAAATTTGTTCCATTTAGTTTTCATTATTCTGATTTCCATCACCATTTTTCTTTTCCTTCTTAGAAACTCTCAGTCCAAGCCAATTACCTGTTACAATGGATGCACTCTCCAAGTCTGATATATATGTGCTGATAGCTGTGGTAGCAACATTTCTGATACTGCTCTGTGTAGTATTGGCTGTTGTGTGTTTCCGGCGTAGAAAACGGCATAAAGGAACGGAATACAAAAAGAGGGTTATTGTGATGAAACCGGTGAGTTGCTTTTTGTCATGTTTATAACAAAATGCAAAGGGTAAGAGACAAGTCTCTCTTCAGCCTTTGTCCAATTGCAAGTCAGAATCAATTTGGGCATACTTGATAATCGATACCATGAAAAATCAAAATATATATATAACATTGTGTTATAAACTATAAACACTTTCAATGGGTATATGCTTGAGTTGAAATCCATTTTTTTCTTCTTTTTTTATTTATAATAGTGAAGTTAATATCCCCTGTTAATGTATTCCCTTTCTCCATCAGGGAAAATAATCTAGTCAAAACATGCCAGTACCAATTTGGCCATGGGCAACCATCATTAAAACAGCACAGCTATAGGAGTGGTTACCCTGATAGAAGAAGAGGATACAGTTTCAATTCCTGTTGAGACAGTTTTTTTTATATATATAAAAGCTTCTTAATCTAGGCTGGTTGATATTAATTTCACTGTTTAAGAAAAAAATTCAAGTGTCAACTAAAATACATGTATTCACTAAAAATAACATTTATAGTAATAAGAAGTAATGCTGGATTTAAAAAAAAAAAAATAATAATTTAAAAACACTGTAAGACTTTGCCTATTATTTAGGCTCTTCTGATAATGTAGTTGACCATACCTGTGTAGTGAACTCTTCTAATGAGAATATAAATAGAATTTCCGGTTTAACTTGATACACAAAACTCCATAATCTGAAGAGAACGCTGTTTGTTTCATACTAAGGAATTATTGAAGTTGCAAAGAAACAAGAAGTTTTTTGATATTTTATAAGTAGAATGACATTTCAAAATTACTTAATTGTTACAACTACTTTTTTGATGGTATGCTTAAACTAGTATATCTGAAATTTTAAATGTTATATCAAGGGTGAGTCTTTGTAGCTAAAAGATTAGCTTGTTAACCACTGTGCCATGGCATGTTTTCAGGTAGGTTATTGGTCCTGATCTGGCATCTTGGTTCCTATCACTTTCCCACCACCATAACATAGACTCCCTGTGCCTTTAGTTATATACCATACCTATGAACACTATGTCCCAATCCTCATAAATACGTTGGACACTATTGTAAGTGGGGGTAATATACTAAGTAGTTCACCACTAGCAGTGGTTTACCTACTTCACGCCACTGGTGAGTATAGTATTTTGTTGATTTTTATAAAGATTACCATTTCATTTCCAACCTCCGTTTTGGTTATTCTTCATTCAGTATCCCTTTCTAGGTTACAACAACTTTCATGGAAATTGTTCTCATGAACTTTCTTCCATGGTACCTAGATTTTAAAAATTTAAGCACAGTACTAAATTGGTAACAGGTTCTTATTTTACAGTTGAAATAATATAACCAGAAGTTTCTTCTCTCGCACTTCTTGGTTGTAGAACTCTCTTCTGGTTCTTTGCTTACCATTCATTTTTAAAAATTTAAATGCAATATCAATCTTCTGTCTTAATTCAGTTTCTTTTATTGTCCTCCCTCCTTATAGTGCCTTTTTTTTTCTCTCTCATATTTACTCACACTCAGTAACCTCTTGCATCATAGTGGCTTTTATTGCCTTGCTTGGGGTGAAAGATTAGTATAAATAAAATTTGGCTTTATACAATCAAAGCTTATTTCTTAATGTCTGCAGTTGTTAGCATTCTTTTACTATGTTAGAAAGCATGTTGTTTAATATTCAAATTTATTCTTAACTCTACTCCTTGAAGATCATATTCCTTTGTACATTAACAAGAGAGCTTATTTCCATTTTGTCTCTTGTTTCTTACCTCAATCTTCTTTGCCATTCCTTCTATTAAAATAAATTCGTGTAGATGTCAGAATAGAGAGAATTCAGTTGATCAAAATAACAAAATTTTGATGGAATGTAAATTAACTTTTCTTTTTTTTTTTTTTACTCCACTTCCTCACTTCTGCTGAAAATTCTGTTTCAGAATGATTTGTATTATCAGAAAGATCCTCAGAATGTAATGCAGCCTTTAGTGCCCCAAGTAAGGATTGAAGGACCCCGAAGACGACTCTCTTCAGAATTGACGACAATGTCTGAATATGAAATTCCATTGGATAAGAATTGGGAGTTCTCTCGTGATCGGTAAGTTGTTTGAAATCTGCATTGGAAACCTTTTACTAACCTTGCTCATCAAAGATTTTTCTACAATGAAAATTACCAGAATTATTGGGAATCTGATGGAATACAGAACTCTTGAATTGATGTGTATAACTACCATATTTATTTCAATGTAAATTCAGAAAGCTGAAGCTACAATTCGTCACAGCCAAATTTCCCAGAGTACAGTTTTGTATGTTAATAAAAATGAATTTGTGTCCTAATTTCTTATTTCTTTGATCATTTGATGTCTTTGAGCAGCAGCATCAAGGTAAATGGATAGTCCATGTAACTCGAAGAAAAATAATGACATAATCAAGACGTTGATGTTCCACATTACTTCAAACAAAAAGTTAGGAAAGGTGACCCCCTCCCTTTCAGTATGCTGGAAAATGCAATAATAGCTGCTGCTACTGAACTTTAGAAATGTATTTTCCTGAAAAATTGTTTTAGGAGAAAAGATTTTATAAATCTCACCTGATAGTAGTACTGTCTGCTCGGTCAATGAATGTTTCCTTGACTGTTATTTTTCAACCTCCTTTTGTCCCACTATTCAGTTCTTAACATTTTCACTTTGCAGGTTGATTATGGGCAAGCAGTTAGGTTCTGGAGCCTTTGGTGTTGTGATTAAAGCAGAAGCAATTGGTATCGGAGGGAAGAAAGGAAAAGTAGCTGTGGCTGTGAAAATGTTAAAAGGTAAGATCTTGGTTTCAATCACGGGAATGACTGCTAAAAATGCTCCCTCTTCAAATTTATAAACAAATCCCATAGGTGCATGCTGGGATTTCTTCCTAGCCAATAGAAATTCTCAGTCTTACCCACACATTTTTTTTCTTTCTTGCCTTGAAGACAGACAACTATATCCACTTGACTGTATCCCTTTTGTCTGTGAACACTATTTCTATTTTGTAACTTTTTACTTTGTTACTGTCTTACAATTGCTTTGCTTTGAATTAAATTGTTTTGTCTTGTACTATTTTGCTCTGTTCTTATTTCTTCCTCTTGTTGTTGTTAAGAATCAGCAATATTATTGGTTCTGATCTGGCGTCTCATCCTTAGCTACTTCCCACCATCATAATGTAGCTTCCCTGTGCCTTTTCTATAAATACTTTCATGGTAATTGTTCAGATGAACTCTTTGCTATGCTACCTAGACTTTAGGAATTTAACCGCAGTGCGAGATTAGCAGCAAGGTCTCATCAGTTTATGGTTGAATTGGTTAGATGTAACCGTAAATTCTAGCTAACGGTTTTTTCTCAGTTGTGGAACTCTCTTCCAGCTCCATGTTTTCCAGTCAACTTTTCAAAAATTTAAATGCAATGTTAAATGTTATCTACTGTCTTTTTGATTGCTCTTCTATTCTTCTCACTTTTTCATAATGTTTCTCTTTTTTCTTATTCTTTCATACTCAGTAATATTTTGTGCCTTAGTGGCTTTACTGCCTTGCTTGGGGTGATATGAATTTTAAAATAAAGAAACTAAATAAATAATATCTACAGCCAAAGTTTCTTGTTTCTTCAATTTAATTTTTAACCCCTTAAAAAAAAAAAAAAAAAAATTATAATTGTCTATACATTGCTTCACTTGCCTCTCTCTCAAGCCTCTCCTGCAACTATCAGTCAGGCAGTTATGTGCCATGCATGATACACGCTTAGGTGATCATGTATCTTTCAGTACACGACTGACGAGGCAGATTTTTTCCCTCAGTAGGTTGCCATTTCTTTCTGCAGTAGACCAGTTGCTATCCAAGGCTATAGAACCCAGTCTGTCTTGCTATTTACACATAGCTGGGGGAATAAGAAAAAGGATTCATACCTTTCCCAAGGATATTAGCACGTAAGTAAATGTAATGGATTCAACTGGAATTCAAACTCAGCTCTCCGATTCCTCAGTCCGAGCTGCTATCCATTACTCCACCATGCCTCCTTTGTAACTATATAGAATTAAAATGCATAAATGATTTTTTTTTCTTTATTTGTATTTGTTACTTTAAAAGAAACATTTAATAATGCATGTCCAATATGTTTTACAAAAAACATTTTCAAATTCATATCTTTCAGTAATGCTTAAATTTTGTTTTGTTCAGGTTTACAACATATGCTAGTACTAATCATTGAACAATTAGTTTGAAAAGTAAACATTTTAGCCCCTTCCCCGGTTAGACATGTTTATACATTTTTGCTGAAAGTGTCTTTTTCAGATATGGATAAATAAACACGTACAAAAACCAGCTACAAATGTGCTTATACGTCAATCTTGATTCTTTTTATGCCTTTCTGAGCTTGAAACGATTCCAATTGTCAACCCATACATATGTTAGAGATGTTAGCCACCATTTGGGTACCTCAAGATGCCACAATTTCTTAGTTACTATATTAAAAACACATGTTTTGCCCAAACTAATTGGCAGGGAAGGTATTAAACTCACCTTTTATATGACATCTTACTTCAAAACGTGAATGTTCATGGCTCTTCACAGCATCCTGTTCTTTGTAGAACTAAGCAATGTTTGTCCCCTTAAGTTACTGTTTCCCTCTGTCTCTCTTGCTTTCAATATGTCCTGTGAGTGTTAAATTCTCCAAGCCTTCTCTCAACATTGTCCCAGAAATTTTAACTGTCTTTTCATTCCTTTTTTTTTTTTTTTTTTTTAACTTCCTCATTGCTCGCATGTTCTGTTCATGATATTCTCAGCATCCTTCTGTAGAACCACATCTCTGTTACCACAAGTCTTTACTTCATCTGTGAGGGGCTTGTCCAACATTCACTGCCATATAGAAGGATCGATATTGTGTAGCAGTTTCTTTGTTTCTAACAAAATTTTTGTATCTCTTAATATTTTGCTTGGTTTCTGGAACCTTTATTCCATTATTCCAATGCCCCTTTGGACTTTTCTGTCGCATTTTTTGTCACCTGTTGCAACATTACCCAGGTAATTAAATTTCTTTATTTACTTGATTTTGACATGCTCAATACATAGCCCACAACATGAGCCATCTTTTTTTCTGATGACCATGCATTCTGATTTCTTACTGTTATTAGTCCTTTATTCATCTTATCCTTTAGACTACATTGTCTAGGAGTTCTTACAGATAAATTTGCTAATCACCACACTGCCATCTGCATATCTATTAAGATTGTATCTGCTATTAATAAATCATGATAGCTCTTCTAGTGCTCATAGTATTGTTGTATAGGATGAAAAATCTGGTGAGATGATGCATCTTTGTCTCAAGCCTCTTAGTTGGTTATATTTATTTGTAAGCAAATTTGAATGTCAGATTTACAGAGTAACTTGAAATTTTCTTGAATATTTAGTTTCAAATATAGCATTAAAAAAATCTAAATTCATTCAATGTAAGCTTTTATGTTTTTGTAGAGGATGCCACTGAACGAGAATTGGCAGACCTGGTACAGGAAATGGAAGTGATGAAAGTGATTGGCTCCCACAAAAACATCATCAATTTATTGGGATGCTGCACTCAAAATGGTAAGAAAATTGTTCTGAGTTTTTAACTAATTTGTTTCTTACAGCTTATCAGACATTTTAAAATTTATTTAATGCCAGAAAATATTTTTAGATTATAATTTTTTTTTTTTTTTTTTTTTTTTTTTTTTAATGTGATAATAATTTACTGATAAGTTATACTGATTAACCCATAGCAGGGAAAAAAAGAGGTGGATTCATATCTTTCCCAAGGGTATTTGCACATAAGAGAATATAATGAACCCAAATGGAATTGGATCTCTGCTCTCCAATTCCAAGCCACTATCAATTACACCACCCGCACATCCAAACTTGCAGCACTCGGTATTCCCAAGCAGTTACCCATCTAGGTACTGACTAAGCTTAACATTGCTTAACTTAAGTGATTGTGCAAGAACTATGGTTAATTATTAAGATTTGTATCATTATCTCCAAAAGATTCTTACAATCTAAAAAGATTTTCTGACTTTAAATAACCTGCAAAAGGTTGATAAGCCATAAAAAATCGTGTTACTGTTTTTGTCACTCTGTATTCTTTCATTCTTTCCCTTATCCCTTCCAATCTTCATTGCCTGTTCATGTTTTTATCTGATTGCAATAAAATTGGTTCATGTAATTTTTCTACTGCATCCTCTCTCTCCTTTTTGCCCTCTCTATCTATCTATCTATCTATCGCTATTTTTATGCCTTTTCAACCCCAACTGCCTTCCAGTCTTTCATTCTTTGTCTCTTGATGTCCAGTTAATAAGATTCTCTCTCTCATCTCCATCCTTTCTACTTCTCTATTTCTCTATAAATGTATATAATTTTTTCTTTTTTTCCCCATCTTTCTTCTTTCTCTCTCTCTCTTTTTTCTCTCTCTCTGTCCTTCATACATTTCCCTCACTTTTCCTTTCCTTGCTTTTCCCAATCACTTCCCACTTATGTGGTTTCTTGATCAGAAAGTGTAACTGATTTCAGTCAAGTAGGACCAGGTATTGGTTAGGTACTACACTCTGATCCTAGAAAGAAAAGGTTTGGTGTGTTTAATGGCATATCAACTCCTTACGAGTCATTTTCTTGGAATCTTGAGTTTAAAAAAAAAAAAATTTTCCTATTAAAATCTACTGCTGGATTATTTTTTTATCTATTGCTGGAAATTTTTACCATAAAAATGTATTTTTATACTTTCATAGTCATTTACTCCAGTTTGGGATTTACTACTTGCCTATAATCAGGGTGGACCTCAGAACAACAGCAATTAAGAGGTGATTTCACACTCCTCAAAACCTCCCAGTCAGACGCCTTGCCACTGGATGTATTTTGTCATATCCAGGACGAGCATAGAAAAGGATAATAGTCATACATGCAGAATAAAATTGTAATATTTTTATATTCTTAATCAAGTCTTAGTTTAAAGTTTATCAAACCATTTTCACATCTTTTTAAATAAATCAATAGTTTGTATTTATATTAGCAAACATTTCACAGTCAGTTAATACTTCTTGCTGCACCTCATTCGAAAAGTTTGAATAATTCACAGACTTATTACTATCTTTTTGTGAGATTACTGTATGCATGTTTAAGTGAGGTCCTTTTGAAAGAAATGGTGTATGCATGTTTAAGTGAGGTCCTTTTGAAAGAATTGGTGTATGCATGTTTAAGTGAGGTCCTTTTGAAAGAAATGGTAAAATCCTCAAACCTGTCCTTGGCTCCAAATTTCTTAAGTTTTTCTTTTTTTTCTTTGCAGGACCCTTACTTGTAATTGTCGTTTATGCTCCTCACGGCAACCTCCGAGATTTCTTACGAGAGCGCCGACCACCTGTCAGGTCACGAGAAGGATATGAGCGACCAATTGCAACAAGACCCCTCACACTAAAGGACCTCATTTCATTCTCCTATCAAGTTGTTCGAGGGATGGAATATTTGGCTTCCAAAAATGTGAGTAACTTAGAAAACTTTTTTCTTTTTTCTTTTTTTTTTTTTAAAAACAAATAAATTTTTTTTATTAAATACCTTTTCCTGCCTTTTTTTTTTATTATTATTATTTGCAGTGTATTCACCGAGATCTAGCAGCACGAAATGTGTTAGTCGCAGAGAATTATGTGTTAAAGATTGCTGATTTTGGGCTGACAAGGAATCTTCAAAATATTGACTACTATAAGAAGACAACAGATGTGAGTTTGCATTTTTGTTTGATAGTTTATTCACTTTGATCATTACCTATAAAGATGTGGTCAAGTATGTGCCAGTTTGTCATCTATTTCATTATAAGTCCTTCTAAGTAAGCATGAGCTTTACACTCAATTATATATGAGGCATTTCATCTCAAATCTACCAACGGCCACAGTTGATCCTCTCAAAAATAAATAAATATAAATAGCTTAGGCGTGTACTTTTATGTACTTTTAATTTTATAAGGATCTGAAAATAGCTGAAATGCAAAAAGACACTGTTCACTTCAAGTGTTTCTCATTTACAAAGTATGTCAGATACAACATCAAAATTAGTTTTCCTGTCGTTTGTGATGTAATAGATTATTTCTTTGTAGTAACCATATTCATTACAATTATAGGAATGCCTATATTACTGTTTGAAAATTGCTCAATTTTTTGGTGGCAGTTTGACAGTTTAAGAAAGTTTTTTAAATTTTTATGATATTTCACATGTCTAGAGATCATGTGACATAATTTTTATTTTGTGCACAAACTTTTGCCTAGGATTAAAAAATTTTTTTTGTTTAACAATTTGTCATGATGAAACCTTGCCTTCTTGATTTTATCACTTTCAAAATTTGCTACTTAAGAAAGTATGAAGCTGAAAGTCGTTTCCCCAATGATGTACTATGCAAATAAGCTACTTTTGGCTTCATTTTACCTTTGTTCTAAATATTTTAAATTAAATACTGTTAGATTTAGCACACTGAACTAAAAAGAACCAGCTAATCATACAAGATCAAGTGATAGCTCTCTCTCTGGCCAACAAGATACAGGTTCGAATCTTGCCTGAGAGCACAAGTTTTTTTTAATAAGATTTTGAAACATTCAGGCTGGTAGTTGAAAATAAATATAGTTTTATAAATACCCACACAAACAAACACACACTTAAAGCAATTGAGACTCAGGCAGTGTGGGATTTTAAGTTGCTACTGAAGTGAATTGCATAATTTTATTTGTTTTACACTTAACCCTGAGAAGCTTCATAAAACCAAGTTTGTTTTTCCTGACTCTTCCTCTTCTTCACTGATGGTTCAGCTTCTTAACTCTTTTTCTTTCACATCCACCAATGATATATGAAATGATTATGGAGGTTAATGCAAGGGGTCAACATGAAATGTCAGATCAGAAAGCCTGCATTTCACATCAAAATATTCTCTTTATGGTTTATTTTCTAAAGTAGTAAGCGCAAGAAATTAATCACTTTACCATGCTTTCCCCTAAAAAAAAAAAATTGCCTGCACAAAAGAAAGGAAACTTAACATAATTTATTGATTGTAATTCTTCCCTGCCTTCTCTACTCTATTCAGTAGATGCAAAATGTCTCCAGACCCATATTTTGCACTATGTTAGAGAAATCTTTGAAGTGCCTTTTGAAGTTTACTTAAATGTTTATCAGATCAGTTAATTGTTTTGAAGCCTCAGGAAGAATCCAGGATTTGAGGATATGGATTCTGCATGGACTTAGGGAATAAATAAAAGTTTGTTTTCTTTTTCTCTTTTCCCCATTTTGGTGTGTGTGTATTTAAAGATCTCTCTCTCTCTCTCTCTCTCTCTCTCCTACTCTACTCAGAAAAAAAGTAATTTTGATACAAGTTAGTGATTCATTAAAGAATCTAAAATTTCTAAATTAAAAAGAATCTTGGTGACATTCAGGATTACCTTCAATATTTTCACTTAAATAATGAAGAAAAATTTGGATTAAAATCAAAGACCAAACCAGAAAACTTGAATTAAATTGTTTGGTTGGATTCAAAATGACTTTTCTTTCTTTCTTTTTCTTTTTTTTTTTTTAAATTTATTATTGTAACCTGAACAAGCAATTGTCTTGTTTCAGTGACACATTGACTGAAATATTTGTCAGGTTGAGATTCAATTGGTGATTTTGCTGCATGACAATGCTTGTCCTAAAATTGCACATGGAATTGTTTTATGGGATGATGCTATAAATTTCATGAGCAAAAATTTCATCTCCCCATCTTTTTTTTTTTTTTTTTTTTTTTTTTTTTTTTTTTTGCTGCTCCTTCCCCTTTCACTTTTTTGCTGCTCTCTTTCTCTCTCTCTCTCCAATCATTCCCCCTCTCTCTCCCCTCTCTCTCTCTCCAATCATTCCCCCTCTCTCTCTCCCCTCTCTCTCTCTCCAATCATTCCCCCTCTCTCTCCAATCATTCCCCCTCTCTCCAATCATTCCCCCTCCTCTCTCTCTCCAATCATCCCCTCCCTCTCTCTCTCAATCATCCCCCTCCCTCTCTCTCTCTCTCCAATCATCCCCCCCCCCTCTCTCTCTCTCCAATCATCCCCTCCCTCTCTCTCCAATCATCCCCTCCCTCTCTCCAATCATCCCCCTCCCTCTCTCTCAATCATCCCCCACCCCTCTCTCTCCAATCATCCCCCCACTCCCTCTCTCTCAATCATCCCCCACCTCTCTCTCCAATCATCCCCCCTCCCCTCTCTCTCAATCATCCCCCCTCCCTCTCTCTCTCTCTCCTCTCTCCAATCATCCCCCCTCCCTCTCTCCAATCATCCCTCCCTTTGATTTCTGAAGTGCATTCTGACTTTTAATATTCATTTTTCTCTCCCTTAGGGTCGGTTACCGGTTAAATGGATGGCTCCAGAGGCATTGTTTGACAAAAAATACACCACTAAAAGTGATGTGTAAGTAATAGAACATCACTTCCAGTTTGTTTTCCAAAATGTGTCCAATGAATTTTTTTTTTTTAAATTTAATTTCACTTCTGCTAACCTATCAAAAATGTCTATGGATGTTTTCTTTGTTTCCCACTTGTGCCTTTCTCTTGACTTTTTTGACCTCTAGATTATCTTTTTCTTATTCAATTAGTTTTTTATCTACTTTGCATACCTACTGTAAATATTGACAATTAACAATTGTGTAATTTTCTCTCTTTGCTCTCAGTTGGTCTTATGGAATCCTTCTGTGGGAAATCTTCACGCTGGGAGGTAATCCATATCCATCCATCCCAGTGGAGGAATTGTTCAAATTGCTCAGAGATGGATATCGAATGGAACGGCCACCTTATTCATCTGAAGAAATGTAAGTTCTGCTCTTCAATTCCACTCTTCCTCACTTTTCCTCTTTTAGTTGCTTCTAATTACTGAATGTCTTTGTCTTTTCTCTGTTTATTTAAATTTCTCTTGTTTGTTTTAATCCCATTATTTTTTTGGTTGTTTGTTTTGCCTGTTTGATGTAAAACAAAAAAAAATGCAATCAATTAATATAAAAAAGAATGTTAATCTTTAGTTTTAAGTAAAGAAAACGGTGCCAAAGACAGAAAATTTGGTATCAGGAGTTCTCAAATGAATAACTTGAGTGGCTATCAATTTTTATTATTGCTGATCCTAGAAATAATTTTATCCAAAAGAATTCAATTTTAATTCATCATTGCAATTTCCTTTGCCTTTTAGGCACTGAGAAAAAAATTATTATAAATAATAAATTAAAAAGAGAAAAAAAGGACAATTAAAAAGATAATAATTCAAAGGTTAAAAGATATTTAAAAAAAAAAAAAAAAAAAAAAATATTGTCTGGATGTCTCTTATTTGCAGACATTCATTAATTTGTCTCCTACCGACATATGTACATATGTAAATTTGAATATAGGCAAAACTTGCCCAGTCATCTTGGCCTGTACAAAAAGACATCAGGACATTCTTTAAAGGTAGGAGTAGCTCTTACAGTTCAAATCTACAGGGACTAGGCACATTTGCTTTAACTTTGTTTTCTGTCTTGCCCTGAAGAATCATTAAAAGTCGTTTTTTTTCTTTTCCTGAAACTTTGTGCCCTTCTTTTATAATAAATCAATAGAAAGATATATATATAAGTTTTGAGAATGCTTTAATTTTTTGGATACTGTTTAATTAACAATCTCCCTGATCTCTGCCATTTCCAACAGATATGAATTATGAGATTTAAAAAGTATCCTCTCAAGTAACTTTTACTAATTTCAATGTTTATATTTTACAATTTCAATGTTTGTATTTGTATTTATTTTTCATTTCTGGGTTTAACACCTGTTTTCTCCATTTCCCAGATACCACATCATGCAAAAATGTTGGCGGCAAAAGCCGGAAGACCGGCCAAGCTTCTCTCTTCTTGTGGAAGAGATCGACAAGATTCTCACGTCATTACTGAAGGAGGTGTGTGTGTCTCCTCGTAAATTTGGCAACAAGGATGGGACAATATTGCAGACAATATTGAGGGTGTGTCTGATTATGAGGTAGAAGATTGGGGGCGGGGTGAGATAGGAATGTAGTCATGCAGCGAGCGTGATTGTGCGTATGCATGTAAGAATGCTTACATTTGCATATGTGTGTCTGCTTCCATTATGGGTGAGTGTCTGTGTGTGCTATGGCCACTTGTGTTTTAAGTCCTTTTTTTTTTTTATTCAGTGTTAGATTGTTTCCGTCTTATGTTATTAGCACATGCACTGCAGGCTTTTGTTCCTTTCACATTTTAATGTCTTTATTAACTGCAACTCACCATCTTTTTCTTTTTTTTTTTCTTTTTTTTTTCTTTTATTTATTTTTTTTCTTCTTTTTTTTTTTTTTTTTTTTTTTTTTTTTTTTTTTTAACTTTTACAGCCATTTCTAAAATCAGATTAAAGTCTTTGCTGTTTATTGTTATATTGCATGTTCTCCCTTTTCTGATATCTTCATGGAATTGCATAAGTCTTCATTCAAATATCTCTCTACTCATCCCCTTTTCTCTCTAATATATATATATATATATATATATATATAAAAATGTGTGTTCCTTAAAATATATTTTGTGATCTATTTTGAATTTCTAATTGCTTTAGGCCATTTGCATAAAACCAGTATGCCTGAGGCATTTAAATGAATTAGTTCAAAATTCAGCATTTCAGTCTTTGCTTATCCATTCTGCAATATGGGACTTTCTTCATTTGCCCAGCTTAAAATTCATAAAATAAGAATTAAATTTAAGCTAAAAGCCTTTGACAGATTTTTAAGTATTCTCATTTAATGTGGCAGTTTTCTCCTTTCCCTAAGTGAAATAGTCCAATCTTTGTTATAACTCTTTTTATCTTTTATATCTTTGTTTTATATATATTTAAAAAAATTTTTCCTTGCTGGTAGCATAATTACAAGTCATGAAACTCAGGGTTTTGTTACTAGTGAGAAAAAAAAATGTATATATATTATTAATTTAAATTATAGTATTGACCACTTTTATTAGCAGCAGCACAGTGTGCAAGATATATATATATATATATATATATATAAAGACTGATACCCACCACTGTCAGTACTAGGATTAGTCAATTATTGTCCAACATAAACATCTTTAATAAAAATAAAGAATTGTATGAAAATGCTCTCCATAAAAGTGGTTTTAACCCCCATAAGTAACACTGAAATATCTAAAGTGAAATATAGGGACAGAAAGAGAAAAAGAAAAATTATATGGTTCAACCCCTCCTTTTGCAAACTGTCAAATATTAATATCGGACAGTATTTTCTAAAGTTAATATTTTCACAAAACCAACCCTCTAAGTAAGATCTTCAATAGGAAAACAATTAAAATTAGCTATTCCTGCACCAATAACCTGTACAAAATTATCAACTCTCATAACTATATTTTAAGTAAGTTCTATGGGATAAACAACAAACCTGTATGGAACCCTCCTGTAATTATAGAGATAAAGAAAGTTGTCCAGTTGAGAGGAAATGCAGATCTACGAGGGTGATATACCAGGCAACCATTTCCCAACAAAGGAAATATGTTAAATTATAATGTTTACATTGGAATTTCTGCGGGGGAATGGAAACACATTTTATACCCATAGGCACTCTTTTTACTAACCCTAAGTTAAAGTACCAGACAGCTCTTTTAAAAAAATCTAGGAATTGAAAGAAAGAGGTCTAAACCCATAGATAGACTGGAAAATTATAGGTTTTGCTCATCCTCCTAATAGTTTTAGAGATAGGTGTGACTTGTATTTAGAAGAAAAATTAGAATAATAAAATACAATAATCAAAGCAAACTATTAAATCAAAGGAATGAATTAGTTCTAAAATGTCAACATAAAACAAATTTAAACTTCTATAATGTAGATGTTATCACTTACACCTCTTTATCTATATTTTTTAATGTTTTTTAGGGTTTTTTTTTTTAAATTTAACTTGGTATGGTTTGCTTTGTTTGTTTTTTTTTTTAAATTAACTTTATCTTTAAAGTTAAAAATGTATAATTTATTTTTATCTTATATTTTTATTTTTAAATTTTTTATTCTTTTAACATAAAATTTTTTTAAAATATATTCTTAAATTTAATATAAATTATCTAAATTATATGTATAAAACTTTATAAAACTCCCTTTTCAGCCCTTTTTTAGTTTAAATTAACACCTCATTCTTCATATAACCCCAATTTAATATCATATGGTTAATATCCAGGGTTAATTTTATAAAACCTCTTCCCTTCCACCCAACCCTGACCACCATGTCATTCATTTTTTCTGACAAAAACATCAAAATGGATAATTTCCATATCAATTTTTTTGATGGCTGTCCAAGTTAAATTTCTAATTCCAACACGAACACAGGCTATACACTGGGGTTGAATAAGACCAACATAGTTTTTCTCGGTTGAAATAGATCTATCCCCCACCCTCTCCATATTAGGTAATTTTGGATTTTGTTGTATAATTTATATGCTCTGTTATAATAAATACATTGACCTCTTTCTGTGGATCAGTTTTAATATTTTAAATTACTAGGATCCACTTTATAATTATATATATATATATATATATATATATATATATATATATATATATATATATATATATATATATATATAGTGTTACCTTTTATGGTCTTATTAAAAACATGACATGATTACACATAAATAAAATTTACACATTCAAGCACTCTGTATAATCTGTCTGTACTTTAAGAGAATGACAATTATCAGGCATGTGTGTGTATATATATATATATATATATATATATAGTATGTGTGTGTGTTACTTTAGTAGATTTTACTCTGTATTTGGAATAGATGCCTCAATTTTATCTATAAAACATTGTGTATTATGACTATCAGCCTACTCATTCAAGACATCTTAGTAATGAAAAATTATCCACACACACACACATTTTTTTTTTATATATATATATATATATGCACATGCATTATTTCTCAATATTCCATCTAGAGCATTAGCAGGGGGGAAAAAGTATGTTTATTTTTTTTTTTTTTTTTTTACTCTGTTGGAGAATTACTTGGGTGCACAACACCTTTTCTCTTATTTTCCCAAATCAATGCTTATTTGGTTAAATTAGTTTGACTAATTTAATGCCATATCAACCCTTGTTAGATTATTTGATATCGGATATAATTCTTATCAGATAAAAAATCACAGTTAATAAATGAACATGGGTACAGATTGCATTTGGGTCAGAAAAATAAACATGTCTATTTTATGCCACAGTCTGCAAGTATTCACTCCAGAGAAGGTGATTTCTTGGGATATAGAAGCCTTACCTCCTCTGTGAGTGATATAGTCACCATATTTTAAGCCCTGGCCAAAGAGAAAGAGCTTACTTAGGATTTCATTTACATGCTTATTTACATTGAGATGCTTGTGGTTTGCATTTGAGATGGCTGATGTATATTGATAATTTAGGTTTTTGCTGGAATTGAATACATAAATTTGATAGTGTCTTTAAAAAAAAATACCCTGCATGTTGACTTAACTTTTTGTATTGTTACTTACAACTAAATGCTCATGTGATTAGCTTCATTACAGGTTAATGAAATTTCAGTCTTGCAAAATATAGAATCCCCAAATTGTCTTGCTTAATTTTTCAAATAAAACCATTTTTAACTATTAATACCGAGGAGATAATGTCCCTAGAAAATATCTCTTCCATAAAATAGAATGTAACATTGTATATTTATAAATCATGATTTTGACTTTCACAATTTCACATATTGAGATATTCCATCGTTTTTATCATAACAGATTTTCTCTACTCAGAGTTAAGATAACAATGACACCCAGTTGCTAAATTACTTTTTATTCGTTTCATGTAAGCTTTATTTGGATAACTTCTTTCAGTGACTTAGTAATTACAGTCCTTTTGGATTGGAAAATATGTGACACTAGTTAACTGTATAGAACGTGTATGTATGTATGTAATATATATATATATATATATATACACACTTGAATCTAAGACAGAATGCTTATCCATGCATACATAATGTCATTTTGTATGGGTGCTATGCTAGTTGAGCATAAGAAAATGTATTTTACAAGTATAATGCTTTTTTTCTTTTTTAAATAATCTGTTTTTTATTGCATAGTAATACTGTTGGAATGTTTTTGTCTAACCTCCAAAACCTTTTTTTTTTTTCTTTTCTTTCTTTTTTTTTTTTTTTTTTTAAATCTAAAAACAAACTTTAGATCTAAAATTATTTAAAGGTTTCATGAATTTTTTTTAAAAATAAAAAATGAAAAAATAATCTACTGAATGGAAAAAGTTAAAATAAATTTTGATCCATGAGTGTTTGAAAATAATACCGAAAACACTTGGTGTGCATACAATGTTTTCTTTCAAAAAGTTAAATTTTAAATGATTTATATCTCAAAGTTTATTGGTGCTTCAATTGTTTTTAGCTCTTGATTTTCTTTTCTTTCTCTTCACAAGTTAGGTCATTGTTATTGAATCTTTTTAGAGCATATGACAAGTTTTGAAAATTATATCTAGAGAGAGTGAGGTCAGTAAAATGAAGGATGATTTAATCTGCCATAATTCACTACAATCTTTATATATAACTCTTTCAAACCATTTTACCTATTAAATTTTATTACTAGTTTTATTCCATCTTTTTACTATGACTCTGACTTGATAGACTCTTCAACCACTTGAGCAAACAGTATGAAATAGCAAAGTAGTAGTTACTAAAAGCAGTTGGGATAAACGTTTGGTTGGTATCTACTTTATTTCATGCTGTCTGATCTGGCAGTTAAAGAGAATATTAGCTTTGAGTTGATAAAAAGAAACTAAGATGGAGTAATAATAAATTTCATTTGTGTCTCTTCAGCATTGAATTATGTGAAAATAATTCTGTAGATTTTTAACTTCTTCTCTTAGTGTTTGCTGAT